ACTGGAAGAGTATCGTTTCTTTACCGAAGTAATCTACAAAAGTGCATTAGAAGCTCAGAAATAACGTGTTCCAAGTGCATCTCTCAAAAGCAGACCCGTCACTAGATTGCTAGCGAAAGTGGTAATTTTTAATTTCGAAATACAAAATGTTTATTGCCTCGAAAAATGACCGTATGCAAAATTTGAGCTCAATCGGACATGATTTAAGGCCCACGCACATTAGATCCGGATCGGACGCGTTGCTGCAAAGTGACAGCTAAATCTATTGTCTAACTGTCAACTTTACTTCAACGCAACACGCAGTGGCGCAAACGTGTCAAAGTTTGACTTTTTTCACTCTCGAAAATCTCCCAAGGGGGGGGGGGTACATGAAATTTCGGAAATCAAAAATTTTTTTTAGATGCCAAATGTCTTAAAAATGCATGAAACGTCAAAATTTAGTGTTATCTCGAAATTTTTTTTTTTTCAAAAATCGACTTTCTGGGATTTAGAATTTTTTTCATGAGTTCTATATGGAATATAGAAGATTGATGAGTCGGCTTCTAAAACTGTTCACAATTGTCTCCAACCTGCTTATATATCGAATTAAACCACCATTTAGGATCAAATACAAAATTATTCACTAGGGTGGTCGAATTATTCTTCATTAGGGTGGGCCAAAAATTCAAAAATATATGAAAAACCACAACTTGCCTGCAGTAGCAATAGTTTACGCGCTCGGGATATTGACGTTATTTGGTGGTTTTTCGCGGTGTTTTCTCTCCCGAAAGCCATCCGTCGCTTTGTGGCTAGTGAAAACTTATAATCTACGTGAAAACCCGACCTTGATCGGTGGAAAATAGCGGGAATAAAGTGCGAATAAAGTGTCTCTACTCCGTGGTTCAAAGGTCTGGATGTAAGTCGGGGATTCATTCGAGTGATGTCAAGACTTATGTCTAACCACTACTCGCTAGACGCACAGCTCTATAGAATAAACCTCGTTGACAGCAATATATGTAGGTGCAGAACCGGTTATGATGACATCGATCACGCAGTTTGTTATTGCCCGGGTAATGACGCCTCCAGAGCACGACTACTGGATACCCTAGTGGCCCGAGGTAGACAACCCTTCCGTGAAGTAAGAGATATATTGGGAACACGTTATCTTCCCTACATGCAAGCGATCTACGAATTCCTTTGTTTGTTAGTCAGTCAGTCTTATTATCCTCCTGTTCCTGTGCTACTTGCCCCTTGGATTTGGTCAACCGTCCGAGAGTAGTATCTGAAGGAGGCTTCAGAAAGCAGTTTCCTACCTAGCTCCTTCCAATAGAAATTGTTACTCATTAACCGCGAGTCCGCCACGAGTAATTGGTACCCAATACTAACCTAGAACTACTGCTATTTAAAATGTAAATTCAAACATGACTGATTTTGGCTCCGCAAAATGTCACACATGACTGAGTCTAGTAAATAAACGAACTAGTTAAAAAAAACAGAGATAATGGCTATTCCACGATAATTATGTGCGTCAGCTTTCCGGCCAGATTTAAAAATAGGTACTCAAAATGAGCTTTTCCATATTTTTGGGAAGGTTCCACATTCAAGTGACGTATTAAAAAGCCAAGACAATGGACCAGTGAGTTTCTTTGCTAGACTAAAAAAAAATACCTTTTGAGGCTCATCAAAGCCTGCAAACTATCCTGCACTTGAAGTTGATTGGCACCAATGTCCCTTGAAAATGCTGGATAAAATGCAAAATAATCGCGATCGCGATCTTCTTCGGAAAATGTCGTATAGATTTCTTGAAAAAAAAAATGCAACATGATTACATTTTTTCCTGAGCTATCCTTGACACGTTCGTCAAGATGCATTATTGATGGAAAATTGTCAGATTTTAATTTGGTTTTCTACGTAATAGAAGAAGTTCTTTGGACAGGACCTTATTTCAAGTTCAGTTTCTGATTTAAATTCTTCAAATGCATTACTGGTGGCTAAATCCAGTTGATCGCATATATCCAAATAGATTGCCAAATTTTCACTATTATTGTGTTTTTTGTAATGTTTATGTGCTTTCTGTTTTCGATTTTTCAAGTTTTTTATTTGTCTGTTATACCAGACTGGTTTTTTAGTGCTTTTGACGCGTCTTTTTTTTTTTCTTCAAAGGTATTTCTTCGATATTACAGTTTCGACGTTTCCATCATTTCTTAGAATTATTTGACAATTGACGTCGTTTAATTTATGTTTGATTTTTTCGTAGTCTGCTAATTTGTATTCAAAAATTTCCTCGTATTCCCAGTTGTTGGGTATTTGGTATTCGTGCACAAATAGAGAACATACAATTGCTGTGTTCGGCATTATGACTGGTAATAGTTCAGGGAGCTTACATCAGAGGGATGCATTTTGATTCAAAAAAGTTAAGGGCTATGTCCGAATCACGAACGCATTATTGACGTAAGACTACGAGGCCAACCCACTCACTGTGGCAAGTATTCAATCAGGCTTGATGATGGTCAGTTGTTGCCTGATGTATCTGTGATTTCCAGGGAGAACAGTCGTTCGATTCCTTGCCGCAAGCAGGATGTCGTGAAATGCTGGGCCGGTATACTTCTAAAACAAAATAATCCTTTATAGTAATTTATCAACGAAATATATCATGTTAAATGTGGAATTCCAGTTATTTTGAATGAGAAATAAAAATTAGTATTCATTTTGGCACAGAAGCACAGTATGACGCTGGTTAAATGAAGTTTAATGAAAACATAATGATATAGGGCTTTCTTTTTATGATTTTGACGATGCACTCTCAAACGCTCTTCCCATTGCATTACAAATAAAATTGCACCAGGGTCCGGAACCAACTAATTACATTACACAATAACACTTTAACACTCTATTGAGACCATTTTTCTGATGTAAAGTAACAATCATTTGAAATACCTCATGCCTTTGTATTCTGTACTGGCAGGTTATGGTTTATCTCTAACAAGCGATGAATTTTACCCCAATGTTGTTGTGCATATTTCATTTGTGCTTCATGAATTTGGCTTGGCTCCAATGATAACCATTCGATTCACTTCGAATATCGCGACACAAGTTATTGCAAAGTTCGTTGAAGCTGATCCAGAACTCAAGTCACCAGAACAACACCAGAGCACCACTCGTTTAAACATTATCGTGACTAACGAAGGTACGACTTTCTTTACTATGATAGCCGAGATTATAGCGCAACAGCCAAAGGTGTTACGTAGAGAGAGTTTTTAGGATAAGAGAGAAGCGTATTCAAAACAAACGACTTGCTGCGTTGCTCGATTAGCTCTGGTTTTGACAGTTCGGTTGGCTTAAAATCAACCAGGCTCATCTCTTATCCTAGATCCTCTCTACAAAAAGCTCTAATCTAGGTTTAGTTATTTGTTTCAAAGGTGTGGCCGTAGACCTTTATCCTTCTGTTTATTTGCGCATGAGCTAAGTTATTTATTCGTAGATTAATTCATTGCCTTTGCGCACCAGGTTTACCGTTGACCTTGCGTAATTGGGTTGACGGTTTTGACAATAAACGCAAACGAAAAAGGACCTTTCTGAAATTTATTTTTGTAACTAGAAATGAACATTCAAATATCTTGGATTGTCTAAAACTGATGTAAAGCGACCTGAACTAGATATAGCGGCAAACCATGTTGATAATTTTATCCAGCAAGCATGAGATCAAACAATGAACCAAACCTATCTCTTCAACACGACAGGGTCAATTAGAGGAACACTAAGATCAAAAAAACTGACACACTTACCCATCTTGTGCTAACGACGGATCTGATCCTATTGAAACAAGTGATGACCAAATAGTAAACACAATACTAGTTGGCGCCAGCATCAGTGGTTTAAAAATGCTTCGCGCTAATGGCATAGTTCCCCTGCCGAAGAGCATTCCATAATGGTGTCTTGGTTAGCTTTAGTTTGGCAATACTATTTGAAGTAATCATTGGTCAACAGGATCTTTTGAAGCCTTAAACACTTGATTCAACAAAACTAAGCGACACCTCCTATCCTAGCTCCTATCAAATTAAAATATCATCAATAAAAACAGTTAGCCAAGGAAAATCACCATGAATTGTTTCCATGCATTTCTGAAACAACTCCGGAGCTGCTGATAAACCGAATGCTAGTCGCTTATATCGCATCAATCCAAGGGGTGAGATGAATGTCGTGATATATCTGCATTCTTCTCGACTGGTAGTAACTGGTGAAATGCTTGTTTTACATCCAGTTTAGTGAAGACCATACTTCCCTTCAGTTAACAAATAATTTGCTCCATTGTGGGTAGCGAACGATTGCCTTCTTTGCTTCTCGTAAATCTATGATTATTCTGACTTCATCTGAACTTCACAAGCATGGGAGACACCCATTTTGATGCTTGGTTAACTCTTTCTACGATACCCTGACTTTACAACTCTTTTAATTTGAGAAGTGTAATCTCTTCAAGAGGTATGGGAATACGTCGATAAGCTTGTCTTACTGGAGGGACAGACTTGTATATTTTTATAGATGCACACATATCTAAATGTTTAAGATAATATATTTAGTGCACGCGAAATGAAGCATTTACCGTAACTAATTATTAAATTGTAGACTTCTTACCTTTGATGTGAGGCAACTCCTCAGTAGACAACGCATGCAGAAACTTTACTACCTCAAGTTTTTCTGCAGAATTTCCACACAGCAGCGAGCATTTTCCATCTTGAATCACGAAGAAGGTTGTATGGCAGTTGGCATAGCCGATTTCGATTTCTGCGTCCACTTCACCGAGTACCGTCAGAGGCTTTTTCGATTCACATTATACGCGGTGAAACCAACCCGTTTCAGCATTTTCCAATCGTCTTCACTAAGCACGTCCTCAATCATCTTTGCCTACTACACACAGAACTTATTTAACCTGCTGGTAAAGATGCTGTGATGCCAACCCCCTGTCTACTGGTATAGCGTGGATGGTGCCTAAACACACCAGAGACCTGGCCCTTGACCCCCTTCTATACTACAAAATGAAGATGAAATGAAATGAGAAAGGCACTTGTCAGCGGTAAAAGAATTAATCAGATTTTTTATTTTTAAATACTTTTATTTTTATTTAGCTTAGCTTATTTTTCGACAATGTTTATTTCTTCAAAGGCACTGCTGCTATAAAATCAACCAACAAAGGTTTTCTACGAAAATATTTATTCTATAAAAACTTGTTTGTACGCTACAAACGTCCATAGCAAGAACCGCCATTACAGTTGTTGTAAGAAAACATGCAGAGGATGTAAGAAATCCAGTCTTGCCATTGATGTTCATGGGTACAGTTTATTCCTATTTCTACAGTTTATTTCTAATGGAGAAATTCAATGCTCGCATAGGTAAAAAAAAAATACGTACAAAGTAAAACAGTATTAACAACATGAAAGCAGTTGAAAACATTAAAGGGGAAGTGAGGAAAAGTCAATTTAAACCATTATTTATGTGATTCACATCTTGATCACACACTTAGAAATATTAATGTAGATTTAGGTGCTCTGAGACTGACATATACGAGCGTCAATTTTGACATAAAATTGAGTCATAATAGACGCGAAATTCAGCTCATTGAAACGTAATTTCGAACATGACATGTTTGTGTACGTCTCATCCTTTATGTCAAAGATGGATTCCGTCACGTGTAAGATTGTGTATTTCTAACTGTGCAGTCAAGAATTTCACCGTATCCACATTTCCGTTATGGCTTGCATGATGGAGGGCAGTCCATTTCTTATCGTCCACCTCATATGGGTCCGAAGTGTGCTTAAGGGGATGCATATAAGTAAGTCGGTTAAAGAGTGCTGATTGAACCAGCGAGCGAACCGGATGTGTTTTGATTCTTCTCCTGTGTTTTTTTTTTGCTGCTGAAAAACTGGAGTTGTTATGGACTGGTGATCGCATTTTATTAGCTTTAGGTCCCGTGTGGTATAGTTTGATCTGATTGAATATGTTTTTGCAAGTGATACTTTATCGATTTGCTGATACAATTGTGCACTGCGCTGACTAAACACTCAACTTAGCTAGAAATGAAGACAACCTTAACAGATAGACCAACTATCTGCATGAATTTGAACACATTCTTTTGATCAAGGCAACCTCTGCGTATCGAAGTCAACATTAAATGTTTTGTTTTGTTCATTCGTGGCTGGATGTTTAATTCGCCTGTGTTGTTGTCAATATTAATATTCGTCTTCATCTTGATGAGGATGATTTTGAGGATCAAATGCAGAAAGGATTATTTTCATATTGCACACATATAGATCTGTAGAAAGTGTTGTGTTGGTTATTTATACACAGATTGATGGAACATTATTGCATCATGCTGAATTATTGATAATATCGAGGTTTTGGGATCTCTAGTCGGCAATACTCAAAATAAATATTTTGCCCAAAATGATTTTGATTCTTTTGCTTTTAAGGATCGCTTCTGATAATGAAATTTTGGGTTATATAATCAAGAAGTGGTGAATATCATCAAAGCGTATTCGTTGATGTATAATGAACTCATTTGTTCATTTTGCTCGTACGTGACAGCGAAGATATTCAAAACGAACGCAATTCATCCACACTGGGTTGAAGCGCTACTGCTTGCGTGTGATGGTAAACGATTAAAAAAAACAGACACTGGTGCTAATGAGCATGAGAGGCACCATCATGATGTAAACAGTTTCTAGCAGCTGATTTCCACTCGCGCATCAATTGCAGGCGCTTCTGAAATTGCATGCTGGTGATGAGAAGCTGGTACCCGACAGTAGTGAACAAAATGTCAGAAGAGCAAGACATACCTGATCCGATTTTATGAGCAACATCCATGTTTGTGGGGCTTTTCCAATCCCAACTACAAAATAAAACATCCAAGGTCTATCAGAACCCACACTAACCGAACAGTTTGCTTTCGTTTTCTGGATTGTGTATTCGTAGAATTGCAAATTTCTTCATCTAAAGGGTGTCCACGATGAAATTGCCACACACAAAATTGATTCGCAAAATTCGAGTTTTCATCCGATTGCCATCAAATTTTCAGGGATTGAGAAATAACTATTAAACTTCATTTTACCATTTTACTCGTATTTTATTTACAGTCCATACGCAAATGCCCGCACTTTGGCTTTAACCCCGGCCATGAGATTCTGCACAACCTGTGAATCAACCGTTTTTTGCATGTAAACCCATACTTTCTTCAGTTCCTCGACTGTCTTCACTACCTTAGGTCGTTTAAGAAGGTGCTGCATCATAATCGCCCAGTACTTCTCGATGGGGCGGAGCTCCGGAGTGTTGGGAGGGTTGAACATTTTCGGCACGAAATTGACCTTATTGTCCGCATACCACTTCAGCACGTCCTTGGAGTAGTGGCATGAGGCCAAATCCGGCCAGAAGATTGTTGGGACGTTGTGGGCCTTTGAAGGAGAGGAAGCAGCCGCTTCTGGAGGCACTCTTTTATGTACACCTGTCCGTTCATCGTGTCCTGGGTCACGAAAGGTGCACTCCGCTTCCCGCACGTGCAGATGGCTTGCCAAACCAGGAATTTCTTCGCAAATTTGGACATCTTCTGAGTGCGGACATGCTCCGGAACGCTGAACTTATCCTTGGCCGTGAAAAACAGGTTGCCGGGGATCTGCCGGCCTTCACATATGTTTCGTCGTCCATGATGCAGCATTCAACTTTCGTCAGCATGTTGAGGTACAACTTTCTGGCACGGGTTTTGGCGGACTTGTTCTGCTTCTCGTCGCGATTAGGGGCCTTTTGTACCTTGAACGTTCGAAGCCCAGCCTTAGTTTTGGCCTTCTGGACAAAACTTCGGCTTAGGTGCAGCTTCTTAGTCACATCCCTAACGGAGGCGTTCGGATTTCGGTTGAAGGCCCCAACTACGCGGTTGTGATTTTTGGTGTTGTACGGAATACTTTTTCCTTCACTTCTGGGCTTCCGATCGGTGGTCAACCGTTCCTCGAACCGCTTAATCACTCGCGACACCGTGGAATTCGCGATTCCCAACGTTTTAGCGATGGAACGATGCGAGAGATCCTTGTTCTCGTGATGAATGCGCAAGATTTTATCACGCACGAGCTGTTCTTTCGACTCCATTTCCGCGAGTTTTGATCACAGGACTTTAAAACTTGCAGGATGTAAATAATGCACTATGAACTAAATCCACCCAAATTTTCATTAAATTCTACCCAACGGTTAAAAAGTTAGAGCAATTTCATAGTGTGGCAATTTCATCGTGGACGCCCTTTAACAAGCAGCACACAACTTCGTACGCACAATCATATAGTATTTCGGTCATTTTTTTTAATTAAGCAATTAACCGGTCACGAGACGAACTGATCAACAGAAAAGCCTCTTTTGACTTCGTTTGCATAATGAACATTATCAGCACCCACTCACCAGCGTATTATCATATTGTCAACACTTTTTATCATGATGGTGGGCGTTTTTGCTAGCAGCGAACTCATTAGCGCTAGTGAACTAGCATAAGTGTAAACACCCCATAAGTGTGCTGTTGCGTTTTTCTTTGTTGCCCGCTATAACCTCTACCGTGCTGATCTGTTTTTCTGTTCCTGTGATGAGCAGCGCCTAACAGGAACCTAAGAGGAAGTCTCTGACGTGTTCTTCCTCTCTCGCGACCGTGCAAAAACTATTTCATTTTGGGCGACGCAGTTGAATGTCAAAATACCAGAAAACAGATTCCCTGTTGTAGAAATTCTTGCGTTTCTATACGTTCGCCCGACCAATCAGGTGCTGGTTCGCGTTTGACAGAAAATTGGTTCATAAAAGACACATTCGATCATGCCGTGTAAATCATATCTAGTTATTAGTGGTTGGAATCGCTGGTGGAGGATGTGGGCGGGACGAGGGTCATGCTTGTCGGTTTCTCGGTGAATATCATGGAGATTGATTCGGGCCTGTTTGCCATGTGCAGAATGTATACATTTTGTATTTGTTGGACGAGTTTCGGGTCGTTTTGTGACATTTTTTAATCAAGTGCAATTTGAATTCATAATGTATGAATCCGCAGCATTGGAAAACGATCATCGTTGGATTTGGTGCGGTTGTTCTAGTTGAAGAACGTCCTTTATGTATTTATTATCAATGTTCTTGATATTTTGATTTTGTGAGAATTTGTGATTGGCCTTGTCGTCGCTGATATAAAGAGCTCGGTGGGTTCAATCTCAAACTCCTTCACATTATGGAGCCTTAGTGCGAATCGGATTTATTCTTGATATGAGATAAAGCGTATTGAAATTCGGTTGGAGGAACGAGTACGGAAAAACAAACGTAATATTTGAGTTTTAGGATAGATGTATCTGTTATTGTAGTGATAGCAAGTTGAACGGGAAATTGCTCGTAATTGTTTTGTATAAGGAGGAGCTCGGTGGCCTTATGGCGACCGATTTTGCTCAATGAGTAGAAAATTCATGGGTTCAATCCCAAGCTCCTTCCATTATAGAGTTATAGTTTAAATCGGCTTTATTTCATAATATGAAGTAAAGCGTAAAGAAATTCGGTTGAAGGGTCGGGTACGTGAAGAAGTAATATTTGAGTTTTAGGACAGACGTGTATATCCAATAATGCAGATTATCCATCAGCTCCGAAAACTTTTACTATCGCGTATTTCATTCGTTCGTTACATACCAAGCGAAAACGTAGTCATATTTTGTAGTCCATTTAGATGGATTTTTTTTTCTTACTGAACAGTACTCGCGGGTGTTCTCCCACTGACAGATCGTTTCGCGGAACTGTCCTTTCGGTTTCTTATCCGTTGTGAAGTCATGAACCCATTGGTAATAGAAATTTTTGAGAAGCTGCTCGACCGAAATCCTCAAACAAGATTCATGAGTCTCTATTACGAGTACATGACGCTGGAGATTGGCCCTTCTTCATTCAATTCCTCTCGTGTTTGCCTCCAAGACTTTTATAGTTCCTCTGTAAATTTTGATCTGACCATGTTGCAAGAAATCCGTGGAATACCAGATCACCATC